CAAGTTTATCACTAATATCAGTTTAAAAATATTTAGTTATATTTAGCAATAATATACTAATATAGAGAAAGGGGTATTTCTTTATTGTCCGTTATTGCTATGCTAATCTATTTGGTACCGATTGTACTATAAATGCATTATTCTGAAATACATTAAGTAAATATATTTTATAAATTCATGGTTCAATATTTTATCTTAGTATTTCGTAGTATCATTGATTATAAATAGTAAATACTATAGATAATAAATGCTTATAATCAATGGTAATACACAATACTTAGTCAATAGTCTGTACAATCCACAATCCATAAAATTATATAATGAATTTTGTAGGAATTTTCGATGAGAAAGGTTAAATAGATTTTTTATTTTGTCATTGTTCACCACGATGTCCTTTGTTGTTTATTATTTATAAAATTGTAACACGTTTGATTTTCGGGGTCACAGGTAGCATATTAGTGGTAAATAAAGGCGCCCCCTTATTTTTACAAAACTACGGCGCCCAAGGGCAACTGTCCCCCCTTAAACACCGCTCTGAATATAGGTTGACAGACACTGCTTAGAATAAATTTTTTGTATTATTGAATTCAAATTTAACACATAGGTAGGTACATTACAGATAGGTACTTATTTTTCAACGATGAGGTATATTCTTCCACACAATCTGAGAACTGTATAGGAGAAAACATTTACTTTCTTTTTTTTTTTTATATATAAAATTTAATATGATTAATATTCTAAATTTTTAAATATTTATATTGTTAGAAAAACATTAATATTATATGCATAAAATATAAACAATTAATTATAAATCTGTATCAAAATTAAGGGTACCATTTTGTGAAGAACACCTTTAATGGCTTCTTAGACTTTAATTTAAATGATTCTCTTCATGATTTATAAAACTCAGAGTACTCATGTAGCCATGTAGGTATGACCTATGGGTACACTAATACACCAAACCTCAATAAGTAATAACTATCAAATGATACTAAAAAAATACGCATTAACAAATAATTATATTTGCTAAAAATTCTCTTCTGTAGCATGAATCATCTTTTTTATTCAATCACTCAACAGATGAATGCACATTTCATGTAAATTAAGTAATTATTGGTAGGTATTATATAGCAAGTGTACATTATCAAGATAGTAAAAGTACACAACCTATTTTTAATTTATTGCCAGAAAGGCAAATTCTATTTAATTAGGTTCATATTATGATTAGTGTTTATTCAAAAAGTTTGTTAAATATATTATTGATTTTTTAATTAAATTGAGAAAATATTAATTAAAAAACCGGGCAAGTGCGAGTTGGACTCGCGCACCGAGGGTTCCGTACAAACCTGTAGGTATATAAGTAAAAGTTTTTTTTATTTTTATTGCAAAATGAAATTTATAACATAAAAATATGGAAAGCTGGAGGATCATAAATTAATGACAAAGGTATCTTTATCGTTCCAGTAATCCTTCATTTTATATTAACATCTATCATTTATTTTATAATATACGATTTCACGGCTGTATTTTTTCAATAAACATCAAATATCGTTTACAGAGAAGGTTTTAATTCCCTCGCAAGTAGTCGCGAGTTTGAAAATATGCGGCTTAAATTGTTATTATTTCTTTCGATTGCGTTGACATAAAAGTTTGATTTTGTTACAGTTTAAAGGTATTATAGACTTAAGTATTTAGTATGAATTTTAATTTAATACCTCATCGCGTTCATGAGATAAGGAGTAGTAACTTTGAAATTTTCAAAATTGTCAAAAATATTTTTCAAAAATATTTTTTTTTTATATGATGAAACTAAAAATTTACGGTTTTCGTAATTTTTCCTATATCTGTACTATAAGACGTGACTTCGTACGAAACTTCAAGATTCTAAGTTCACAGGAAGTACCCTGTAGGTTTTGATTCCCGTGCGAGTTTCGAAAATTTGCGGAAATTTGCGGCCTAAATGGCTGTATCTTTTGATTGCGTTGGCTTAGAAGGTTGATTTTTCTACAGCTTCCAGGGACAGTAGACCTGAGTATCATATACAAATTTCAGTTTGATACCTCCACGCGTTCCTGAGAAAAACGCTCTTGACAGACGGACGGACGGACGGACAACAAAGTGATGTTATAAGGGTTCCGTTTTTTTCTTTTGAAGTACGGAACCCTAAAAAATAAGGTAACATTTAATACATACCTAATTTATTATTTTGGTAAATTAAAAACGTATCAAGTAAATTATAAATAATACCATTGCTTTATCATTAAAAAGTACTTATTGAGACACGTATATCACAATTAATTTAAAACATATAAAACTGTATTTTTTATGATCTACCACCCTAGACACAAAATACAATTTATTTTAACAAGGATATTTTTCAAGAAATATATCAATTTTTGCTCCTCTACTAATAGCAAACAAATGTATTTATGCAAGTGATATGCAATTCAAAAAAAAAAAAAAAAAAAAAAAAAAAAAGGTTAAGGAATTATTTAAAGAGAAATAATCAATAATTTGTTTCTTAATTATTGACATAATAACGTTGTTGTGCAATAATGGTTTTATCAAACATTGGTGTGCACTTTATTACTACGCAGTGCCCCATAGTACTGATAAAAATGCGCACAAATGATATATTGATTAATCTTCTTGAAACACATATAAATATTACATACCAATTAATAGAAGGGAAATGCACAATTTTTTTGATAACTCTTCCTGTGTAAATTTCTGTTTAAAAGAAAGAGAAAGAGTTAGTAAAAAAAAAAAATTGTTTACATACATTTTTATCTACTTATGCATTTGCTTCCTCTATTAGTTATCAATATAGTTACTAGTATAATCTATCTGTTTTTTTTTTTTTTGTTCAATGAGGTCAGAGATTAGATAGAACCATCCAAATTTCTTGAACTTGCTTAGGTTAGGTTGTTGAGCAATATTTAGGTTAAGAGTAGATAGAAAATATACAAAAATAATAATACAAAAATACATAAGTAATTAATTAATCTAACAAAAACTGTACAAAGATGTGTCTACAGAAGATTCAATAGTTCATGATTTTATTTAAATTTAGTATACAAAAATACATAATATTGGTTATTATCATAAAGAAAACATACATTATCAAAAAATTGAAATTTTATAATTTTTCATCATTATTTGTCACTTTATCGAATCTAAAGTTTGTTTAAGACATGTCAGTGTACAGATTTTTTAATAGTATATACACATACCAAAATCACAACAATATAGTTATACTGTGTTTTCTATTTCACAATTAAATACAATATTATATGGAAAAAAATATAATAAAAATTTTATTTTTAAACTGTCTAGGATTTGATTGTCTATAAAATTTAACTATTGGAAGGGAGGGAGCAGAGTTCCATCAAAATACAAATAATACAATAATATATATTTTTTTAAATAATACTTATCAACTAAACATTATCAAATTACAATACATTATATATCATTCAACGTAAGATATTGTAAAAATTATAATAATCATACAATTTTTTTCATAATAACAATTCGTAGGAACACAAAATGTCAATATACACAACATGACCATAATCCGCATCTTTTTTTTAAATAAATAGTTTTCTTTTGAAATTAATCAAAGTAATATAATAGTTGTAATACTCTACAGGGAAAAAATAAATTAAAATTAATGGGTCTTTTGTACTTTAATGATCACATAAATATTGACTTGATAATAATATATAAGATTTTTTTCATTGTTATTTATATTCTAAACATTAAATTATTGTGAAAAAGAATATTATTTTTATCGCGTGTATTTATTTAATTGCACTGCGCTTATCACATTTGTTTCCACATATACATGACTTTTTTCACCTTGAAAGGGGTATGGAATCAACTTTTATAATATGAATAATGTCATTACCTATTGATTGCTTAATAAATATATATATATTTAAGTATATATTTTTATACTTTTCACACATAAATATAATATATATTCAATTTCATAAAAAAAAAAAAACACACATTACATTAATACATATGTATAGTGTAGACTGTTGACATTTAGAACTTAAATACAATATGTGCATATATATATATGTATGTATTAACAACTATATTTACTTGAACATCACAATTTAGATACAGTTATATTGTTTCTGTGTCATTATATTTTTTTTTTGGTTGTTATTACATACATTTTATATTACAAAACTGAGGATTAAGTCAATTAATAATTATAATAACAGCACAAAGGTATTAAACAGACATACATTCATATATAATTGTATAAAAGCTTTTATATTTTACAGTATTATATATATATATATACCTCATGATAACGCGTGTCTTTGTTTTAAAATAAACAAATAAATATTTAATAATACCTAACGATAATGCACATCTTATAAGTTAAATAATATATTACCAAGGGGGAAGAATTTGAGATCACATCTGTATGGTATAAATTTATAATATCGGATATTATAGTGTTACTATGTGAGCAGTAAAACAGGATACAGTGCGTTGACTTTAGTCTATACTCTTTAGATGGAATACAACACATAAAAAACTATTAGGTGTTGAAAGTAATCTACCAACCACACTATGCACATCTCAAAATATTTTACAAAAATAATGATAAGAATATATGAAAAAATAAAATAATTATTTTAAAAACTATTAAATGGTAATACAATTATATGACATGCAGATATGATTAAAATTGTATCATAGAGGTAATATGAATTATTACTGTTTTAAGAACTGTAAACGGTGTTTATTCATTTTAATATGCTATATTATAGAAGGTAGATACTGCTTGCTTTACTAACACGCATAAAGAATTCAGAGTAGATCATGATACTTTTCATTGTCTCGAATGCGCTATTGAGAAAAACAACATTGTCCATTCTGTCTATAGATATATATAAATACAAATTTATATATATATATATATATATATATATATATATATATATATACCTACATATTTCATAAACTAGGTACTTTTAAATTTTTTGTTTTTGACGGATATTACAAAGTTCATAATAACAATTATTATTGCTTTTACATTGACTACTGAATACCATGTTAAATAAGTTAAATAGAATATGTTATTTTCCATTTAATATTAGGTAAGCTTACATGCTAAATATTTGGTCTGTCATGCTTAAATGCAAGACAAAAGTTATCACAATATAAATATTATATTATATTTTAAATGACAATAATTATTAATGATTTTTATTATTATTATTCTCTCTAATATTACAATTAAATAATAAGTCCTAAAGGTGCTTGATTGAATGTTACGAACTAGTTAATCTAGGAACTGATCGCGCAAAATAATTATATCCATTAGGATAACACATTAATAACTAATTGTAACACTGAAATATAAAATTTTTGAGTTTGAACAGTGCAAACGGTAGATGTTTTTTTAACGATTCAGTCAAATTTTTTACAATAACGTTATGGTACGTTAGAAAAAGAAAAAGAGAAAAAAGAAAAAGATAAATAATTAGTAATTTGATGGTCGAAATAATTAAAATACCTAAACCGTAGGTATTTTACCTGTAGAATTGTGTTATTATTTTATAGGTCACACACCTTTTGGATGAGAATATTTTGTGTCAACAGGAACTGTGTATGTCGTCTGTGCATTGTATTAATGCAAATTTCATTTGGTGACTGGTACTTGGACAACATAATGCATCAGTCGGGTGGGCAGACTACCTGCATTTAATTGATAAAACTCTACTAGTTGTAAAAGGTCATAAAATTTGATCACACCATTGTCTAGTGTAAAACAAACTTGATCATTAATTGGATCCATTTGCTGAAAAAATATTTTTAAAATTTAACTAATTGTAATAAAATTATGAAGAAATTAATAAATAAATTTGAATACATACTGCTACAATAGGTGTATGGATAATTTTACCACCGCATTTAAATGTTAGTACATATGATCCACATTTACTTTTGCTTTCTCGTATTAAAAATACCCTGAAATGTTTGTATTTAGATGAGTTAAGTTGAACATTTATAAACATATTTATTGTACTTACCCATCTTTATTCCCAAGTCCATTAAGGACATTGGCAGCTTGATCACGGCTCATATTTTTATGATACCATGGCTGAGATAAGTGAATATCATTTTCAAGTTTTGTGATAGCCGTTTGAAGACCAGGAGTTGTTCGACCACTGGATCGCCAGCTTCGTCGCACACTACCAGTCTCTGCTTGAGCAATGGCAAGTGCTTCTTTGGGATCTTCTACAATACGACCAACATTACCAGAGAAGTCCATAGCTACGTGGGACCGTACACTCTCATTGGGCAATGGTTTCTTATTATATTCATATTCATTAGTATCGTTATGCTTCTTCACAAATGATCGATAGTTGTCTCTTAATTGCTTTCCATACTAAATAACCATAAAAAGATATATTAAGTCAATATTTAAGTAATCAATAATTATTTATTTAACAAAATAGTTCAATACTCACTTTCGACAATCTCATAGCGCACATCCAATAAGATTGAGTTTTATCGGAACTGCACGCAATGTACTGCTTTATGCCACTAGCGGGCACCAAACATAGGCAATGATCTGTAGGAGAACCTGGTACTCTCTTATTAGTGGTGAATATTCTAAAGTCACCTAAATAAGCCCAGACTTGTACTTGACATTTATCTCGTGTTCCAAACTGTAAAAATATAGTGAAATATATAATAAAAATAAAACATTCAAACTAAATAGGCAGAAACAAATGAAAAATAACACCTAATGGTATCTCTCAAGAAGGAAATGTGACTATTCATATTATTTTAATAGTTACATAGAACAATATTAAACCAAGAAACAACGAAGTACTTAAAAAATATCATGATATTGTGTTAAGACAAAAGCAAATTCAGCTAGAAAATGTTTTAAATCAGCTATTTTGAATATTTATAAACCTACCTCAACATAAAAAACATGAACTATAATAATTATATGCATTAGCATAAAATCTATGAACAGTAAATTTTATTGGATACATATGAAAATAAAACATTATTAAACTGATCATTTTCTTTTTTTAGTTTTTAAGATTTTTGAATTTTAAATTTAAATTGTATTTAAATACATTTCGATGACGCTGTTGAGTGCGAGTACAATACGGTAAAATATGATTTAAATTATGGTTAAAAACTAGATAAAAAATTAAACGAACCCACGTACTATTTACTTCAGTGGATTGATTAATAATCACGATTATAGAAGTACTTTACTTACAATACACCATAAAAACATAAATTCATCGACAAAAAAAAAAAAAAATGGATTCTTTATAATCAAAACATCTGCGATATAAAAAACTACATTAAATAAATAGGTTACATTTAAATTTTTTGTAATAAAACTAAAGTATTACAGTAAGTGTATAAATGGTGTGAAAAAAATGGATAACATAACATATAAATTAGGAATACAATTAGACAAAAACGATCTAATGTTTAAACAAATTTTTTTATGCCGTACATGGAATACCGTCAATTGTATTTGATAAAATATGTTGGGGTATAAAATGTATAACAATAAATAATATTCTCGTTAAATTTTTGTTAGGATTCTAAATTGTTTAAAATGCCTAAATGATATAAGACTTGTTTAATGTATAATTCGTATTTATAGTGGAAATAGAAAGATTTTATAAATTAATTTGTCAGAAAAAGACCTTTGAGAACAATGACATTAATTTAAGATTTTCCCCAGGTAATAAAATCTTGATAAATGGTATATAATAACATTTAATTAGTAAATGAAAACGGGATTGTTGTTAAAAAAATCTCAGATAAATTGTTATAAAAACATAGTCATAATATTACTATACTAAATATTCAAATATTTTAACATTAATGCTATTTTTGGATTGATAAATAAAAAAATTATTTATAGAACAGAATGACTAATACTATTATCATTATACTTACAAATTAAAACCTTCACTGTAAATACCCAAATTAAATAACGGCTATTTCAACTTCTAAAACTTATGAAATAATTTTATGGGTAATGGTAAGTAATCGTTATGGTTTTGTTCCAAAATAATTAATATTAAATATTATTACAAGAAATTGCTATTCTTACACAGGATTCACGTTATGAAATAAAAAAATGATTCAGTTCCAATTCAGATGAATGAATGCAAAACGTTTTTTTAGAAAGAAAAAGAATTTTTATTTTTAACACAATACGATTTTCTAATTGAAATTTTCGTGAGCTCATAGTCTGTTAATCAACTTTTACTTAATCAAGATTGCCTATATAATTTTCAACTTCAAGAAAACGAAACTTATAATATATATAAAAAAAATAATAATAAACGTTGTAAGCTATCGAACGACGACTGACGAGCTTGGAGCTATTCATTGTCGTCTATCAGTCTATTATTTTATCGACAATCAACTATCAAGCAACGTTATAATATATCTAAGTTATTTTTAGTAGACAATTGATATCAAGAACATTATGATCATAAAAATTAAGATAAGATCTAAAATTTAGATATCGTATACAAATCGGACAACATTATCTTTGTACGTGGTATTAAAATAGATTAATAATTACGACTATGGGAAATACACAACTAGATTCAAATTTGGAAATATTCTGATGCGAGTTTATATCGTTGACACGTAAATAGAGTACATAATAACACTATGTATGTTGTATCATTGTACATAATACAATACAAACTAGTCATGTGATATGTGAAAAAAATATGTTTGTCTAGAATTCTTAATCTATAATTAACGAACCCTAACACAATTTCTATTAACACTGTTAAATTGTAAATTTGAATTAACACAAAAAGAACAACTTGCAAAAGAATCGGCATTATTAATCGTTACGAAATAAGATAATAATTATTAGCACATCATTAAAGTTATTAAACTATAACAACAGCATACGATAAAATTGTAATATATCAGTGCCACGGTTTTGTATTATAGGTATAGGAATTAGGAGTGGCCAGGCAGTTAGAGTGCAATCAAAATGCATTGTGATCAATCAACTACAAGGACGAATTTATGACGCATCGAAACTAATATCTATAAAAATGGTGCGCGACGGTACGAGTGCATAACATACATAATATATAGTTATAGTCACTAAGCTTCAATGTGTTAAAAGATATTATACTAATGCATGTGCATGTGCATGCCCGAGAGATACGGACAGAGATTGATTACGATAGATAATAATTTAATAACAAGCGTAATAAGATGTGCTTCCCCGCCGGGTCAGCGAACATGCTTTTTGCAGCGTTTCGTTTACTATAACGAAGGTAACAAATTATTACTAACAGAATTATGATGTTTTGACGACTGCACGGATTTCATCGAGGTCATTTCTCAAAGCAAATGTAGTAAATAATATATTTTATTAGATTTAAACGGCAACACTTTTTGCTAATTTAAATAATAAAATATAATAGTAAAACAACTAAAACATAATATATTATTAAGTACATGACTACAAAAAACTCAATGTACCGATAACGTTTTATCAATTTAAAGGGAAAGAGTATTAAAACCTGAGTACCATTAGACTACTAGCTACCGTATACATGGTAGAGTATATAATTGTACATATATATTATTATTATTATTAAACAATAAATTGGACATGGTTTTTATTTACTTTTATTATTTTATTTTAAAACACGTACCAGAATAATTGGAAATGTTGACTGTATTCTGAACATACATCTTAAAACTAGGAAGTTATTATTCTTAGACCAACTCCAAACAAAATTGAACACATAAAGAGTAAATATCTAAATGATTTAAGTAAATTGAATAAAATTACATTTTTGGTTTAAATAGTCTAATAACTGACACGTCGTCAGCAGATAATTCCAGACAAAGAATTCTGCAATGTACTTCAAGTTTAAAGATTATACTCATAATATATATATATATATATATATATATATAAATAGGTAGATCTTTTTTAAATAATACACCTTTATGGAGACATTTTTTTCGGAATATTTAATTTAATAAGCAATTACCAAAAATGCATTGGAAACAGATTAATAATAAATAGATAGATATTGCTTAAAATTCTGGTTTGATAACATATTTACGCTATTTCAATATCAGTCATACAGTCATACTTGACGCACAGAGTACACGACGAAGTGTGGTTATCTTTTCAAAATCTTACATTTACGATCCACTATGGTATCCGTGTATAGTGTGTGTGTGTGTTAGTGTGTGGTACTATTTATATTTGTTAATAATTCAAGTGTTGGTGTGATTGCATAACAATTATTCCCTGTTATTTTTTATTGATTTCGTAAATTTTTTTCTATGAGGCAGACAAGCCCTGTTTTCAGTTTTGCTACCCGCCATCGTATCTGTTTCAATAAAAAATTGTCTAGTTGAGAGTCATCGTTTGTTCGATGTATTTACTTACTTGATCTTGTAAATTTATCACCCGCCTGTGTATAAGATTATAATACATATTATTATAATATAGGTAATCAACATTTTTTGCTACTTATCTGAATTATGGTACCTGTATTATAAATAAAGTATAATATACCTAGGCCTATCGCATTTTTTGCTATTAAAATTACATTTTGTTAATAAAATATGTTGAGGTCTTTACATAAAGGTATATTATTATTTTATGTTATCTTTTACACATATTAATGCATTCAGAGTTGCCCGATTGCGGCCCGAATACAGGTAGTCGTATTTTATCCCAAATATAAGTATCCCGATTGCGTCCAAAGACGCATTGGTTCACAAAATACCTTATAATTAATAAAATAAAGTCAATATTTTAAATACTGTATAAATGTTTATTGGACGTATTTGTGTTTGAAATTCAAACTTTTATTATAATATTATGAAGTACGTCGATATACCTAAATTATTATAAAATAATTATAAATAAAAATAATATTTAAACACATGGCAAGTACACTATAATATAATTCTTTCTCAACGGATATAATAAAATGAATGGTTTACAATAAAAAGAGATATGAAGTACAATTAATTTGTCAATAAATAGGTATCTAGTCAAATATTAAACCACTTAAATAGTATTTCCTACCTACTATGGACAGGCCGCAAGGGTTAGGTTAGATAGGGATAGGCAAAATGGTAAAAAGTTTACTTTGGGCCGCAATCGGACGATGTATTATTAATCTGTTCATTTATCTGCACCATCTCTTCTTTATTGTACAGGCATCCCAATAAATTAGTAGACGAATAGTTATTTTTCCAGAAATATACAAAACATTTTACTACTAATTAAGAGCAATTATTAAAGTTTCTTTATTGATGATTGTATTCAATAAATTGTAAAATATTATAAATTATAGTTCTAACTATTAACCATTATTATTATTATATTTCTTTTTCAATTACTATTTCACATATTTTGTGAAAATATGTATAATATTTAATAAAATCAGACAAAATGCAGGTAGCAGGAGTTTAACTTTGTGGTCTCCCAATCAAAAATCTTTGGGAATGTCTTAGAAAAATACACCTTATGCATGCAGAGAAGTGCCTGCTGTGATTAAGTGTACATCAGAGAATAATAAATTCTATCAGGCTGGAAAAATTAACCAAACTGTAAGATTTAAAGAAATATACAAGGTAAGATTATTGAAATGTATGTTTTAATCGAATAGTG